TTCTTTACACAGACAGGAGAGTTTCACAGGTCCGGCACACTTAAGGTAAAGTGGACTGTATGTGGCCCATCATGTTAAATAACTTTGCCTGAGCTTCCAATATATTTAGCTGTATGAAAAGTTGCATTTAAAATCTGCCAGAAATGTTACTTAATTTATGCTTGCTACTTTTATGCAGTGCTAACTAAAGGGCTGCAGCCTATATATATATATGTATATGTGTATATATATATATATGTATATGTGTATATATATATATATGTATATGTGTATATATATATGTATATGTGTTATTATATATGTATATGTGTATATATATATGTATATGTGTATATATATATGTATATGTGTGTATATATATATGTATATGTGTGTATATATATATGTATATGTGTATATATATATGTATATGTGTTATATATATGTATATGTGTATATATATATTATATGTATATTGTATTATATTGTATATATATTTATATATGTGTATATATATATGTATATGTGTGTATATATATATATAATATATATATATATCACACATATATATATATATACACAATATATATAATATATATATAATATATAAATATATATAATATATAAATTATATATATATATTATATTTATATATATGTATATATATATGTATATATATATATATATACATGTATATATATATATATGTATATTATATAAATGTATATATATATGTTATATTATATTATATGTGTATATATATATGTATATATATGTATATTATGTATATATGTATAATGTGTATATGTATATGTATATGTATGTATATGTATATATATGTATGTATATGTATAATATATGTATATATGTATGTATATGTATATATATATGTATATGTATATATATATGTATATGTATATATATATATGTGTATATATGTATATATATATATGTGTATATATATATATATATGTATATATATAATATATGTATATATATATATGTATATATTGTATATGTATATATAATACATATATACATATATATATATATATATATATATATGTATATATGTATATATATATGTATAATAGCAGCTGGATAGCGTAGTGGTTAAACTACACGCCTTTGGAACAGAGGATCGCAAGTTCGATTCCTGCCTGGGGCGTCTGTATCCAGTAAGGGTCCTAAGGCTAGACCCCTATGCTAAGCAAGCCTACGCAGACATGAGCGAGACAGATAAATATGAAGGCATGCCGGCTCGGACGTCGCCCGGATCAACAAGGTCCGCGTCAGGTGTTGAGGAACCAGGGCACCCTGACGAAAAGTGGGCTACTGGAACAAGAAGGCATCGGTGGGCAAGGGACGAAAACAGGGCGTTGTTGGAATGCTACTACGGCAAGTAACCCCGGCGGAAGGGCTACATGAATAGGATGAGGGACCTATGGATTCTTCGATACCCAACATCCACAATGACGGCGAAACAACTAGTAGCTCAGTGTTCCAACATTCGAAAGAAGGGACTGCTCTCACAGCTAGAGATTGACGAGGTACAACACAAATGCTACGGCAAGGAGGAGTCAGGACGCCAGGTCAGGGGGGAGATATCATCACCCCCACCCGAGATTGGGTACATAGCCCCAAGTGTAATAGGAGAAGGATCGTTGAGTGCGAGAGGAACTGACCTGAAAAATAGGATCATGGCCAAGCTTGAAACCTGGATCCCCGTAGCCGGTTACCAAGATTACGTGAAGTACCCTCAGAAGGTCTGCTAGATGATGTTAATGCAGCACTACGGGCAATACCTACAACCACGATTACCGACACTAACAAGCTGATCTACAATACGGCAGCAGTGATCAGTGAGATGCTTGGCTACAAGTTGAACAGCCACAAGGGCAGTACCTCCATGGAGAAGGAGGCTAGAGGGCAAGATCAAAGTAGCACGGAGAGGGTTAGCCAACTAACGGAGTTGCAGCAAGGTGCGACGAATAAGGTGCCTAAGAAATACAGCAAGCTGTCCATACCTGAGGCCTTGGAAACTGCCAAGCAAAGAGTCACAGCCTGGCCAGCCGCTTGAGGAGGTACACCAGAGAGATAGAAGGCAGGAGAATAAACCAGCTGTTCTCCACAGAACCAGCAAAGGTGTACTCTCAGTGGCAAGGGAACAATAAGAGAACAGCACACCAAGGCTGGAGACGGAGCAATACTGGAAGAGCATATGGAGAAGGATGCAACCCATAACGGCAATGCTCAGTGGCTAGAGGATCTGAGGGCAGACCACAGCGACCTCCCTGAACAGGGTCCCAGTAACCATCACAGTGGCAGATATCCAAGAAAGGGTCTCCAGTATGAAGAGTTGGACAGCACCAGGGCCCGACATGGTTCACGCCTACTGGCTGAAGAAGCTGACTGCACTCCACGAGCGTCTGGCAGCACAAATGAACCAGCTGCTAGTTAACGAAAGACACCCGGAATGGCTAACTGAAGGCCGGACGGTCCTGATCCCCAAGGACCCCAAGAAGGGACCGGTCCCCCCCAACTACCGACCAATAACCTGCCTCAGTACTACATGGAAGCTCCTGTCAGGCATCATATCGCTAAGATGAACAGGCACATGGGTCAATACATGAGCGGGACACAGAAAGGAATTGGCAAGAATACCAGAGGTGCAAAACACCAGCTACTGGTAGACAGAACAATCAGCCGAGACTGCAAGACCAGACTGACCAACCTGTGCACTGCCTGGATTGATTACAAGAAGGCCTATGACTCAATGCCCCACAGCTGGATACTGGAATGCCTAGAATTGTACAAGATCAATGGGACCCTAAGAGCTTCATCAGGAACTCAATGGGGATGTGCGTACAACACTAGAGGCCAACTCCAAGCCCATAGCACAAGTTACCATCAAGTGCGGGATCTACCAAGGAGATGCTCTGTCCCCACTGCTGTTCTGCATAGGCCTGAACCCCCTCAGTGAGATCATTAACAAGACTGGCTACGGATACCGACTACGGAACGGAGCAGTTGTCAGCCACCTCCTGTACATGGATGACATCAAGCTGTATGCCAAGAGTGAACGAGACATCGATTCACTGATCCACACTACCAGGCTATACAGCAATGACATTGGAATGTCGTTCGGACTGGAGAAGTGTAGTCGGATGGTAACAAAGAGAGGGAAGGTAGTCAGAACTGAGGGGATTGAACTACCAGAAGGCAACATTGCAGACATAGAGGACAGTTACAAGTACCTGGGGATCCCGCAGGCAAATGGGAACCATGAAGAGGCCGCTAGAAAGGCTGCAACCACCAAGTACCTGCAGAGGGTCAGGCAAGTCCTGAGGAGTCAGCTGAATGGTAAGAACAAGATCCGGGCCATCAACACGTACGCCCTGCCCGTGATCAGGTACCCTGCTGGGGTAATAGGCTGGCCAAAGGAGGAGATAGAAGCCACTGACATAAAGACAAGAAAGCTCCTGACCATGCATGGAGGGTTTCACCCCAAGTCCAGCACCCTGAGGCTGTACGCTAAGCGGAAGGAAGGGGGCCGGGGACTGGTGAGTGTCAGCACCACAGTCCAGGATGAGACAAGGAACATCCAAGAATACATTGGGAAGATGGCCCCAACTGACCAAGTGCTCAGTGAATACCTCAGGCAGCAGAAACCCAAGAAAGAGGAGGGAGACGAGGAACCATCATGGAAGGACAGGCCCTGCACGGTATGTACCACCGGCAGATAGAGGAGGTGGCTGATATCCAGAAATCCTACCAGTGGCTGGACAAAGCTGGACTGAAAGACAGCACAGAGGCACTAATCATGGCAGCACAAGAACAAGCTCTGAGTACAAGATCCATAGAGGCTGGGTCTATCACACCAGGCAAGACCCCAGGTGCAGGCTGTGTAAAGATGCCCCAGAGACTATCCAGCACATAACAGCAGGGTGCAAGATGCTAGCAGCAAGGCATACATGGAACGCCATAACCAAGTGGCCGGCATAGTGTACAGGAACATCTGTGCCGAGTATAACCTAGAAGTCCCGAGGTCAAAATGGGAGATGCCCCCAAGGGTGGTGGAGAATGACCGAGCTAAGATCCTGTGGGACTTCCAGATACAGACGGACAAAATGGTGGTGGCTAACCAACCGGACATAGTGGTGGTAGACAAACAGAAGAAGACGGCCGTAGTGATCGATGTAGCGGTTCCCAATGACAGCAATATCAGGAAGAAGGAACACGAGAAGCTGGAGAAATACCAAGGGCTCAGAGAAGAGCTCGAGAGGATGTGGAGGGTGAAGGTAACGGTGGTCCCCGTGGTAATCGGAGCACTAGGTGCGGTGACTCCCAAGCTAGGCGAGTGGCTCCAGCAGATCCCGGGAACAACATCGGAGATCTCTGTCCAGAAGAGCGCAGTCCTGGGAACAGCTAAGATACTGCGCAGGACCCTCAAGCTCCCAGGCCTCTGGTAGAGGACCCGAGCTTGAAGGATAAACCGCCCGCAGGGGCGCGCTGGGTGTTTTTTTTTTATATATATATATGTATATGTATATATGTATATGTATATATGTATATGTATATATATATATATGTATATAATAATATATATATATGTATATATATATATGTATATGTATATATGTATATGTATATATATATATGTATATGTATATATATGATAATAATATATTATATATTATATATATGTATATGTATATAGTATATATATGTATATGTATATATATGTATATATATGTATATGTGTATATATATGTATATGTGTATATATGTATATATATATATGTATAATGTATATATATGTATATGTGTATATATGTATATGTGTATATATGTATATATATGTGTGTATGTATATATATATGTATGTGTGTGTGTATGTATTTTTTTATTGAGCGTCTGTCTCAAAGCCACCGGGAATCCCCCGCTTCTGATTGTGTGTGCTCTTAGTGCCTACAGGGAGCGCTACATTTCCCCACCTCTAACTCCCTCTATCCAATGAGCAGAGGGCTAATCGTGACGTCTTCAGTCATCTGGGTGATTACGTGTAAAGTCTCCTGTATGAGCTGTAGCTCGCTGACTAGCACTGGCTAGCATCCCGTTGGAAACACAAAGTCTATAGGTCATATTACGGACTGCCACGGCTCCAGCTTTGCTTTCAGTGTTTGTAGAGAGCAAAAAGCATTTCACCCTCGAGAACCACACGAAGTGACTTTCAATCGAAGTGAAAATGGTAAGAGGAAGGCGACTTCAGTGTACGGGCAGTGTAACGTCAGCTAGCACCACCGGTGGTGATGTTAACTCTTATTGTTATGGTTAGAAGAGCTAGATGGCTAGCTGTCTGTCAGAATAGACTCTCATGTCGTACTTTGTTTTTCCCCTTAATTAATTCAACCCCAGGTTTGTCTTTGCTGCAGTTTGCGACTAAGCTCGTTCTTTAGCTGTTGGGTTGAGTAGGGTAGGATACTCTGGAGCCAGGCCAGGGGAACTGATTTAGTTAGGAACTGCCCAGAGTCAGGGACAGTTGTTGTGATGAGTAACTGTAAGGTTTTCAGAGCTGCAAGAAAAGCCACATCAATGACAAACGTTCAAAGGGCTGGTGCACTTGCAACAGGAACCACACAGAAACCTGTGGTCTCCTCGGAGTAACCAAAATGATTGGACTACTGTTGGAACCATGCTGGCTTCCCCGTGCCATGTCTGATGGACAAACGGTCTGTTTTACTGCCAGTAAAAGTTTGTCAAATAGCGCTGTTAGTGGGCTGTAGTGTAGCCAAATGAAACCGCCAGGAGATATGCGAGTCCAGCACGTCTACCACATGATGCCAAAAACTGTGGATCTTGTTCTGGACGCATTACAGCAATGTGACAGTTGTCAAGCTTGGGCTTCTGAAGAATGTATAGTCTCCATGTTAAACACACAGATAACACATTACATATCCTTCCCTGTTGTGATTTCCTAACATCTCATACCACAGTCACATGTTGTGCACTAAGCTTCTTCCTGGATATTTAATAACTTTATTTTCTCATTTTGTAGATGTAGCAGTATGGAAGTACTATCAGGAACCTCTTTCAGGTGTTACTGCATAAGGAAGTGGTGCTGTCTGAGGCGACACAGCAGGGAGCCTTAAACTCTGAGCACTGGGTGAAGAAACTGAACTGCACCCAAGAAGAGAAACTGAAAGAAGAATATGTTTGCTAAACTGAAAAAGAAGATTGCAGAGGAGGCCGCCACAGCACCTCGGAGTGGTGTTCGCATACCCCGTACCATCAGCAAGGAATCCATCACCTCAGTGGGAGCAGACTCCGGGGATGACTTTGTAAGTTCTTTAGAATTTTGACAGTTTGGTTACTAACATAGACCAAGTTTATTAATAGAAAAAAGGAGGAGTAGACTTCAGACTTGTCCTTGTTCTTTTTGCTTTAACATGACAGAAAACATTCATCTCTGGGTGGTCACTCAGTAACAGTTTGCAATATGTTTTCCTATATTACTTTAACATGTTCACAGGTCCTTGGAGTGCTGCTTTGCTTATTTTTTAGTTTCATATTGTATTTCACGTATTTATTGTTCCTGTTTTTGCATTCTGCAGTTGTGGATCTACTAGTGGGATTGCGTATGCGTGTAAATTGTCAGTGTCAAAGCTCATATATGAAGGCCTTACTGTGCTTCTCTGGCAGCTCCTGTTGATGCTAAACACTGTGGCCCTGGTAAATTAGTTATCCTCTGGCTGTCAGCAGAGCCATTCCTGGGTAGCAGCCCTTAGTTTTGATGGACATCGATCAATCAATCAATCAGACCTTTATTTGTCACATGCAAGTTGCCCTGCAGTGAAATGGGACATCACATGGGGAGACAGGTCGGGGATTGGTAGTATTACACTACAATGGGAAAGTCCAAGAGTGAAAAATATAGACCTCTACTCATGCTGGGCTCCTGGGAGGACAGCATGAGAACGGAAAACAAAAAAAACTCCTCTGCACAGAAAGCACATAGATGTCCACAGCACAACATTATGGAGCACGTGACAAGCAACTGGATTGGGTAGGGGGTGAGGAGTAAGCAAACACAGCAGCCATCCTGCCCTGCAGCTATTTTTCCAGCGCTGGGCCCAAACCCGCCGTGTGTGTGTGTGTGTGGTGTGTGGTGTGTGTGTGTGTGTGTGTGTCCAGAGTTCAGCTGAGACCGTGTCCTTCGCCCTGCCAGGCTAAGTAAACAGTCTTCCAGCATGCCTATAGTAAAGGTGATGGTAGAGTGGAGATTGGCTCTTTTGTACTGATTGTGTGTCTTCATGATCATATTTGAGTCCAGTCTTAAGATCAACACATTTATTGCAATGCTGTGTATATTATGTTATTGTACTTGACTGTTTTCCTTATTTAAGAACAATTTTCCAATTGCTTCCATTATAGTTTGTTAATCAGATCCATCTCAGTGTTAGTAGCTCTAATAAGTAGCTCTCGAGAGAGGAAGCCAGACTCCTGAGGCTCCGTTACAGCTGACTAAATAATTTAGTGAAGTTGCTTAGTCGTGTTACAGCCGGCTGATATGTTACTTTGTGTTTTTGATTTGTAGTATAACAAACATAGTAGCATAGCTGCACACCCTGGCCAGCTTGTCTGCACAACTCTTACTGCTGGCACATGTATTTTTCTGTCATCCAATTTATTTTGTTGGAGCTTTCTTGCAGCTGACGAGCATTTGTCATGTGACCCAGCAGAACATCTTTCCATGATTTAAAACACTGGTTCTCAGATGGCATGCTGAGTCAAGTCCAGCCACCGCCATATTTTATGACAATACATCATTACTACAATCTACAACTACACAAAAGGTAGGATAAACTGTGCTGTCGGGAGTTGGCTAATGCTATCTTGGTGCCACAGGCTAAAGAGGGACTTGGAAACCAATCAGACCTTCTGTTAGAAATCTAGCCTACTTTGAAAGGCACTGGGCCCGACCTATAGACGTCAAGACTCGAGGAGTCTGCGATGGTCTGACCATTGTGGCAAAGTCTATGTTAATAAAACACTGAATTGATGGCAAAACAGTAAAATAAAACTAGAAACACAATAGGGCTGCCACGATTTGTCGACTAGTCACGATTACGTCGACTATCAAAATCGTCGACGACTGATTTAATAGTCGACGCGTCGTTTGAAGCTTTGTAAGATCACAAAAGACGCAGGAATAAGTGGCAGGATTTAAGAGTGTAATAACGGACTGAAACAGAAGATGGCAGCATTGCATGTACAAGGATGTCAGCTACCGTTAAACCCCGAAGAAGAAGAAGAAGCAGCTGTGTCCCAGAATTCATAGCGCGGCCCAGCGCAGTTTCCAACAATGGCGGCAGCTAGTTAGTTTTAATGTTACTCTTATTATTCTTTCTGGGTCACAAAATAAACGTTTAACATATTTTCAGGCGAGAATGTAGCTGTGTAAACCTCAAATATCTGCTCAGTTTATCAGGACACCGCATATTTTCAAAAGCGCTCCGACGTTTTCGGAGACATCTGTTACCCACTAGCTCATTAGCGAGCCGGGGGCTAGGCTCACTAGAGCCGTGAGAACACCGGACTCCCCGCAAATCGTTTTCAAACCCACCGCCGTCTGTCACTACTCAGGTTAAACATGATATATGAGTCACTTAGATAACTTAAAATGTTATTGTTTGGCTTTTTTTTTTTTAGTATTTTATTTGTTCCTGAGTAAAACGGTTTGTCTGAGATTAAAGTTATAGTTTTTACTAGAGATGGACCGATCCGATATTATGTATCGGTATCGGTCCGATACTGACCTAAATTACTGGATCGGATATCGGAGAAAAATAAAAAATGTAATCCGATCCATTAAATATCACGAAAGCACCTCACAAAACTTGCAACACGCCGTAACTCACCTCAGAACATTAGCACGTCTGAGCAGTATGCATCACGTGATAGAGCGGCTATGGCATGCGGGACCTGTTGGTGCTCTGGATAGCATTTGGAGCTTCGCTAGCAACCCGGCATTTCATCTCCGACAAAGTTATCCCCGAGAGAAGTAAAGCAAGTGTGTAAGTCCATCTCTGAATGTTTGTAAAGCATTCCTGCGTTAAGCTTAACAAACGATATATGGAGCGACTGCCTCTTCTTGCTGCTACTTCAATCGTGAAACTGCCTAACGATCAGCTGATCAGCTTTTCTGTCGTGAGTCCGTGTCTCTAGTTTGCTTTTGGCCCACTTTGCGCCAGAAAGAGGAAACCAGCGGCTGAACAACAGAAGCACGTTTAAGCTTGATCAGCTGTTGTTAGAATGTATTTAATATTACTTTCTACTCAAGGATCTTTTTCTACGTAGCTGACGCTGGTAACTGTGCAGGGGCGGATCTAGCAAAGTTTAGCCAGGGGGGCCGATAGGGCATTAACAGGGAAAAGGGGGCACAAAGACACACTTTTCTTTCTTATTCTCATTTAAAATGTCAAGCTTTTAATAAATAATTATCTGACACCCAAAGTTTTAATTTGATGCAAAATGAATAGAAGTCCATTACTGTATATAGTAACTATTAAGTCTAAGATACCCTAGTAAGCTATAGTACTTTTTCCTTAGGGAAGGTACCATCTGTGCAGTCTGCAATTTTGTTGAAGAAAGATGTTGAATCTATTTAATATTTCTTGAAAAATAATTGATTTCTGTGCATTTTTTTCACACTGCATCAAATTAAGGTTGATTACGTCGATTAAGCATCATGAGGTGGAGCGTGAGGGGTGGTTCCCTATTTTTTATTTATTTATTTTTGTTGTTGCTGGGAGTTGGAACCCTATTAGTTAGGTTGCTTAATATTTACGCTAAGTACTCTTTAAAATATCAGAATAGGGAGGATGGTGTAGGTTTAAGTTTATTAGATTGATCAATATTGCTGAACTATGAAATATTTTTTTTGTATACAGGTATAACAGAATAGCTTTAGTGTAGTTGTTGTTTTAAACTTGAGTATGAACTTATACAAAATGCAGCAAGATATTTAAAAAAACAGTTTTGTTGATTAAAAAACACTATATTGGATTCATATCGGTATCGGCAGATATCCAAATTTATGATATCGGTATCGGTATCGGACATAAAAAAGTGGTATCGTGCCATCTCTAGTTTTTACACAGCTGAATAAATGTCAAGCAGACAGCTGATTATCAGAAGTGTGAGATGCTCAGAATTTACTCCAGTGTCCTGTTATATTTTAGATAGCAAGGAGTTTATTAAACTTCACCGAAACAATCTGCAAATTTCATTAAAATTGAATAAACTATCATCTTGTCTTTATTTTTAGTTAGCACAGACCTTAAACACTTAAAGCTGTAAGCTAATGATAGTTATATGAGCAGATGCTGCTGGTGCAATAAGCTGTAGTTTTACGTCTAATGGATGATGATCTGATTAGTCGACTAATCGCAAAAATAATCGGTGACTAGTCGACTATCAAAATGATCGTTTGTGGCAGCCCTAAAACAATAACGGCAACACTCTCCAATAACAGTGTAGATGTCCTGGTACACTGAGATGCTAGAAAGGCTGTCAGTGTTGTCTTTGTTTGAAAATACAGTTACAAGAAGAATTGATGACATGTCAGATAGCATAGAGGCCTTTTCGTGCGGACATGGATGCAGGTGTGCTTTGGTATATTTTGGACAAAATCTCAAATGACTGCATCATCCCTGCAGTAGAGCTCCAGAGGCTTGGAGAGTTTATGTCAGGACACACTCCAGAGCATATGCAGAGCTTTGCAGACCGTCATCTACATGTTGTAGCTGTTAACTGACACCAGCGGGCCATGTCAAAAATATGTGGACTGTCCTGCACGCTAATCTTGTTTGTTTGTCTTCTTTGTAGTGATGTAAAAACAGAGTATGAAACCATTAAAGTCGTGCCATGCTTCTCAGGGTGTTTGTCACCTTTGGTGCTTTATCCTGTTTCTCTCCCTCATGGTGAGCCCACGTTTCAGCCAGTTAGCATTTGTTCAGTACCTGTTGTAGTCAGATACTACACACAGACTTCCAGTGTGATGGCACCGGCTTTGCTGCTGCTTCAAAGTACATGTCCTCTTCCACTTGCCTGTGGTGTATCATGTAATGTTTCTAGATATAACTACTATGTAGTTATATCTGTTTTAAGCCTCGAGTTTCAAATCCTGCATAGTGCTTACATTCTATTAAGTTAGACAACTGACCATGTTTTAAACTTAATGAAGACTAAGCAGTCCATATCTGTCCCACTGTGAGATTTGTGTTGAAGGTCATGGAAACTCGCTGCTCTTTGTTAAAACTTCTATCAGGATTGTTGGTGTTACTTTTAACTTTGGATACTGATGCTAACAATCTGGTTTGTTCTCGCCTCTATCATTTAAGAAATATTACCAAGTTATGCTTGGCAATATTGGTGTCACACTCTGACCTTGTCATTCATGCTTTTACTTTATTTTGTCCAGATAATTATTAGTTAGCTGTCTCAGCAAAACCTCCTGGGAACCTCTTTTACTGGATGTTCAGAGCGTTACTGTGAGACTTCTGACAAAGTTGTCCAATTCCACTGCTGGTTTACTTATACTGGTTCCCTGTTAACTTTAAGATTCTGGTTTTGACTTCTAGAGCTCTGCATGGACACACCAGTGTGCATAAGAAAACCCTCACATCCATACGTCTCCGGCAGGTCACTGAGGTCATGTGATCAGAACCAGTTGACCGTCCATCACACTAGGCTGGGACCTAAAGGAGACGGAGCTTTTGCAACAGGGTCCAGGCCTCTGCACACTCTCCCTCTGAGCCTGGCATCTGTAGACTCGCTGATCACATTAAAGGAACAGCTAAAACTCATCTTTTTAAACTTGTTGTAGTATTTTATTTTTTGAAGCATGTGATGTGAAATGATGAACCATTCCACTTCTATAAACGTCTGTATGTCTGATTTTTTATTTTTATTTTTATTTTTTATTTATTTTCAGGCATCTGATGGCAGCAGCTCCAGGGATGACCTTCCTGCCCAGCTCCTCAGAAGAAATGATCAGATCCGGAGGCTGGAGGCCAAGCTGTCAGGTATGATGTACAACAGTAGTGTAAGCAGCTGAAGTGAAGCAGATTTTAGGAGCAATCTGAGTTCAATTTAAATGCAAGTGCACCCTGTCTTAACTGATAATAATTATAATAATCTGAGAACATCTAAAGGATTTTAGTTTTATCTCACACAAGTTAAAGATGCATATGTTAAATATAGAATTATAATGAGTAGAGGTAATTTGAGGATTAGCTGCATGAGACTGAGGCCTTTCAGCCAGGAGAAACCATGGAAACCAACAAGAAAATCATATATACAAACATGCATTTAGACTTTTTATGGTCTTGGTAATAGAGTGTGAATGCTTCATGTTTATGAGCCCCACAGCACGACTGTTACTGCACAGTGTCAAAGCTGGGCAGCATGAATACTGGAGTTATTGTGAGCGTGTAAAGTATATGGCTAAGGCAAAAGTCTGTGCTTAATCCCATTTCAATCAAATGGCAAACAGGTTTGAGTAGCAGGTGGGCGGGGCTGAAACAGATTTTTCAAAGCTGTTTGGCTCTCAGGGATTACGTGCACATGCATTGACCTTAATATGTGACACATATGACAGAAGATGAGGAAGAGCCTAATAGGCCAGTTTAAAGCAGGGCAGCTGATTTCTCTGCTCTCCATGCTGCAGTGCACAGACTGATGGCCATGAAGTGATTGTGTTAATGTCTCAGTGTGAATATTATTTTTAGTATTTAACTGTGTGTGGCTTGTTTTTCTGTTGTAAATAAATATTGAACTACTTTTTTTTCTGTGAAGGTTCTCAGTCATCCAGGTCATCGTAGTCAAAGGAGCTTGCAAAGAAAAGCGTCTGGACTTCTTTAAGTTGCTTGAAGGCGTTTCACCTCTCATCCGAGAAGCTTCTTCAGTTCTAAGGTCAAATGGTGGAGAGTCCCAGATATAAACCTAGTGGGAGTTTCCCCCACAGAGGGACAAAAGGACCCCCTGATGATCCTCTAATCACCTGAGCCAAGGTGTGAAACTGGGTGTGGGTCCCAATCAGCCAGAGTTTCGGGTGTGTTCATTGTGAAACCTGGCCCCACCTTATCATGTGAATTCCTGAGGTCAGATGGCCCAGGATGTGAGTGGGTGTTAAGGCGTCTGGGAAGGAACTCAAAACTGGATTATAGATGGCAGAGAGTTGGTGTCGTAAGCCCCGCCTCTGTTCAAAGATGGTCGCTCACAGTGGACATAGATGGCTTCTTTCACTCCTCTTTCCAACCATCTGTCCTCTCTGTCCAAAATGTGAACATTGGCATCCTCGAACGAGTGACCTTTGACCTTTAGATGCAGATGGAGTGCTGAGTCTTGTCCTGTGGAGGTGGCTCTTCTGTGTTGTGCCATGCGCTTGTGAAGTGGCTGTTTGGTCTCTCCAATGTAGAGGTCTGAGCATTCCTCGCTGCACTGTACAGCAAACACCACATTGTTAAGTTTGTGTTTTGGAGTTTTGTCTTTCGGGTGAACCAGTTTCTGTCTGAGTGTGTTGCTGGGTCTGAAATACACTGGGATGTCGTGCTTGGAGAAAACTCTCCTGAGTTTCTCTGATACACCGGCTACATAGGGGATGACAATGTTGTTGCGTCTGTCCTTCTTATCCTCCCTCGCTGGTGTCTGGTCTTCTTTTCTGTGCCTCTTTGCTGACTTTAAGAACGCCCAATTAGGATAGCCGCAGGTTTTGAGTGCTTCCTTTACATGTGTGTGTTCCTTCTTTTTCCTTCAGGCTTAGAGGGAACATGTTCTGCCCGGTGGTGTAGGGTCCTGATTACTCCAAGTTTGTGTTCCAAAGGGTGATGGGAGTCAAAGAGGAGGTACTGATCCGTGTGTGTGGGCTTCCGGTAAACTTCGATGTTGAGGTTGCCGTTCTCTTCAATGTGCACAGCACAGTCCAGGAAAGGCAGACAGTTGTCCTTTGTGTCTTCCCTGGTGAACTTGATGTTTTTATCCCCAGCGTTAATGTGCGCAGTGAAGGATTCCACTTCTTGTGTCTTGATTTTGACCCAGATGTCGTCTACATACAGTGGGGCAAAAAAGTATTTAGTCAGCCACCAATTGTGCAAGTTCCCCCACCTAAAATGATGACAGAGGTCAGTAATTTGCACCAGAGGTACACGTCAACTGTGAGAGACAGAATGTGAAAAAAAAAATCCATGAATCCACATGGTAGGATTTGTAAAGAATTTATTGGTAAATCAGGGTGGAAAATAAGTATTTGGTCAATAACAAAAATACAACTCAATACTTTGTAACATAACCTTTGTTGGCAATAACAGAGGTCAAACGATTACTATAGGTCTTTACCAGGTTTGCACACACAGTAGCTGGTATTTTGGCCCATTCCTCCATGCAGATCTTCTCGAGAGCAGTGATGTTTTGGGGCTGTCGCCGAGCAACACGGACTTTCAACTCCCGCCACAGATTTTCTATGGGGTTGAGGTCTGGAGACTGGCTAGGCCACTCCAGGACTTTCAAATGCTTCTTACGGAGCCACTCCTTTGTTGCCCGGGCGGTGTGTTTTGGATCATTGTCATGTTGGAAGACCCAGCCTCGTTTCATCTTCAAAGTTCTCACTGATGGAAGGAGGTTTTGGCTCAAAATCTCACGATACATGGCCCCATTCATTCTGTCCTTAACACGGATCAGTCGTCCTGTCCCCTTGGCAGAAAAACAGCCCCATAGCATGATGTTTCCACCCCCATGCTTCACAGTAAGTATGGTGTTCTTGGGATGCAACTCAGTATTCTTCTTCCTCCAAACACGACGAGTTGAGTTTATACCAAAAAGTTCTACTTTGGTTTCATCTGACCACATGACATTCTCCCAATCCTCTGCTGTATCATCCATGTGCTCTCTGGCAAACTTCAGACGGGCCTGGACATGCACTGGCTTCAGCAGCGGAACACGTCTGGCACTGCGGGATTTGATTCCCTGCCGTTGTAGTGTGTTACTGATGGTGACCTTTGTTACTTTGGTCCCAGCTCTCTGCAGGTCATTCACCAGGTCCCCCCGTGTGGTTCTGGGATCTTTGCTCACCGTTCTCATGATCATTTTGACCCCACGGGATGAGATCTTGCGTGGAGCCCCAGATCGAGGGAGATTATCAGTGGTCTTGTATGTCTTCCATTTTCTGATGATTGCTCCCACAGTTGATTTTTTTCACACCAAGCTGCTTGCCTATTGTAGATTCACTCTTCCCAGTCTGGTGCAGGTCTACAATACTTTTCCTGGTGTCCTTCGAAAGCTCTTTGGTCTTGGCCATGGCGGAGTTTGGAGTCTGACTGTTTGAGGCTGTGGACAGGTGTCTTTTATACAGATGATGAGTTCAAACAGGTGCCATTCATACAGGTAACGAGTGGGGGACAGAAAAGCTTCTTACAGAAGACGTTACAGGTCTGTGAGAGCCAGAGATTTTCCTTGTTTGAGGTGACCAAATACTTATTTTCCACCCTAATTTACGAATAAATTCTTTACAAATCCTACCATGTGGATTCATGGATTTTTTTTTTCACATTCTGTCTCTCACAGTTGAAGTGTACCTCTGGTGCAAATTACTGACCTCTGTCATCATTTTAGGTGGGGGAACTTGCACAATTGGTGGCTGACTAAATACTTTTTTGCCCCACTGTATCTGTACCAGTGGCTGGGTACTCTTCCTTTGAAAGAGCCAAGAGCCTTCCTTTCCACTTCCTCCATGTAAAGGTTGGCTACAATAGTTGACACGGGGGAGCCCATGGCACAGCCATGTTTTTGTCTGTAGAAGCCTTCGTTGTATTTGAAGTATGTGGTGGTGAGGCAGAGGTCTAACAGTGTGCAGGTCTGATTGGGTGTGAAGTTGGTCCTGTCCTCCAAGGAGCTGTCTTCTTGTAGTCATTTTCTGACAGTCTCCACGGCCTCCGTGGTGGGTATGCAGGTGAAGAGAGAGACTACATCAAAGGACACCATGGTTTCATCTGGATCCAGGGGAAGTTTCTGGACCTTGTCGGTGGAGTTCTTGATGTGGTGTGGGGTGTTCCCCATGAGAGGAGCAAGGATGGTAGCAAGGTGTTTAGCAATGTTATAAGTGGCTGAGTTTATGCTACTGACTATGGGTCTGAGTGGGACAGCTTCCTTGTGGATCTTAGGAAGTCCATAGATGCAGGGTATGGCATCCCCTGGGTAAAGGCGGTGATATGTAAGGCGGTCAATGATTTTGTCCTTTTCAAAGTCTTGAAGGCAAGCTATAACTTTCTTTTTGTAGCTGCTTGTGGGGTTTCGCTTCAAATCTTCGTAGGTATTGTTGTCACTGAGGAGAGTAGTGATCTTTGTGTGGTAATCTGTAGTGTTTAGGACCACGGTGCATCTTCCCTTATCAGCTGGTAAAACAGTGATGTTGTGGTCTTTGCTCAGGGAAGCGACGGCCTTCTTGTATTGTGAGGTTGGACGGAGGGACTTTGGCACTGGAGAGGGTGGCATCATGATTTGCTCTGCTTCTGTGATAATTTATTAATCCGTATGGCGGTTTCTGTGGCTGTGATGAGGTCCACTATGGGCAACTGTTGTGGAGAAATGGCAAAATTGAGTCCTTTGGCTAATACTCTCTTTTCAGGTTCAGTGAGAATCCTGTCTGAAAAGTTCTTTACCCATTTCTCCTGACTGGCATCAGGTGTGTTTTCTTCTCTGAGTTGTGTAGGTTCAGACTGAGGAGTGTGTGTTTTTGAAAGCACGGTGTGGAATTTTCTGCATTGTCTTTCTTTTCCTTTAGAGTGTTGGACCCGCTGAGCCTTTTCCACAAACTTGTAAACCTCTTCTAAGATCGGAGAGGGTAGAAAGGTTTCCAGTTCCTGCAGGGTCTGGCTGTTCTTGCTCTGGAGGGCATCTATAGTGAAATGGACCTGTCTTATCCTTTCACTTAGAAGCTGATTTTGTGCTCTGTGTAGAATCAAGTCTGCTCTGTATCCCCTGACAGTGGATCCAAGGCGCAGGCTCTTAGGAACAACTCTGCTTTGTCTGCATCTTAGGTTGAAACGGAGATGGTTCCTATAATCCGCTAGTTTCCTTGATTCCCTTTCATACTCCCGCACCAGTTGAAGGGTGTCCCTCCCAAAATGTACGGCCTTAACGCCCACTCACATCCTGGGCCATCTGACCTCAGGAAATCGCATGATAAGGTGGGGCCAGGTTTCACAATGAGCTCACCTGAAGCTCTGGCTGATTGGGACCCACACCCAGTTTCACACCTTGGCTCATGTGATAGAGGATCATCAGGGGGTCCTTTTGTCCCTCTGTGGGGGGAAACTCCCACTAGGTTTATATCTGAGACTCTCCACCATTTGACCTTAGAACTGAAGAAGCTTCTCGGATGAGAGGTGAAACGTCTTCAAGCAACCTAAAGAAGTCCAGACGCTTTTCTTTGCAAGCTCCTTTGACTACTTCTTTTTTTCTTCTCAGAATAATGGCACATTTTTCCTTTAGTAGCTTTAATGACTTTCAATCCCTAGAAAAAGGTTAAAGGTGGCAGATTCTCACGCAGCCTTTAAACCATTATGGTTTTCTCAGATAAGCAAATCATCAGTATTTTTACCTTCCATTATTTCTCAACCATGTTCTCCCTTTTGTTTTCCCCCACTCCTTCTGTTCACCTTCTCTCCTGCTTCTCTCTTAACTGTCATCTGCCTCTTTCTCCTTGTTTGTGTGTGTATTGTTGGTACCCCACCCCATCACCCTACTTCCCAACACTAGACTACGCTGAGCAGCTGCGAATTATGCAGAAGACCAAGGAGAAGCTTGAAATTGCATTAGAAAGGCATCAGGATTGTACGTACCTCTACTCTCCTCCCAATTAGCTTCCTTTCTGTTTCCTGTCTGTCAGCTGTACTAAACATTACCTGACACATTATCGCTCACAGAGATGGTTCAGGGTTCCAGATGCTAATATCTTCAGAGGGTTGCTGTGGAAGTGCTTTTTCTTTTCTTTTAATCCAAAGTAGGATTGGGCTTTTTTTCAAACCACTGGTATGCAGTGTTCAGAGCACTGATTCCAGAGCCATGCTTTGTCTGTCACTTTGCTCTCAGTTTGTTCGCTTTTGCTAAGTGGTTTCTCAAACCATTCTCATTCTGGTCTATTAAACCTGGTACAGCCACCTATATATTTATATACTCATTTGTTGGGCTGTGTCTCTCACATTGTTTTAAGTTACTGTATTCACTGTGATGAACTAAATATCAAAACCCTACCACAATGCACGGTTTGAACAACAAGACCAACTTGCTTGTGACTCATTAAGTGTAGCAATAGAATTTTTCCACTTTGTTTAGAGAGGAAGATTTGGGAACCTGGTCTGTGTGTAGCTGCTGCGTGTGGCAGATGCTGATGCAAACAAAGTTTTTATACCTGCTGTAATACAAGCAAAGCTAAATATATTGGAGTATGCAAATGTTATATGTTCACACTAAAAGCCTCGAGCATTAAACACACTGGCTGAACCTCCTTTTTTAAGTTTAGTAACAGGTGATTTGCAAAATCTTTAAATGTTAAACTTGACTTTTTGGCCATCTGTTTTAGCAAACTGACTCAGTTAATCTGAAACACTTCAGTTTGTCCCGTCTCTACCTTTGAATACACTCCAACCTCAGCATCTTGGATTGCAGCTGCTGATTTTATTCCTTGTTCTGCTCTGCAGCCTTCATGAGGGTCGTGCAGATTCAGGTAAAGCGACCCTCGTGCTCACAGCAGAGCTCAAGACTAGAACAGAATCCACTGACCCCAGCTGCTATCAAGGGTGGTAGAGTTGGAGAATCCTCTGACATGATATTGAGGACAACCACAACAGCAACATGGCCACCAACCAGTTGGTAGGAAAACACGAGATGCAAAGCAATGGAGCTGGCTTGCAGCAACTAACCATTCAAATTAAAAGCAAAGTGAATGGATAAAATAAAATACATTTAATATATACTACTATAATATTGACTAATTTGCCTAAACGTTAGGTAAACATCTTTTTTGAAAACAAGGATATCTGTCCCTCACAAAAATAATGGACTAGTTCAGGGAGATAAGTGATGTAAACCTTCTGACAGTAGCACCAGGGGTCGTGTGGCAAATGAGGAACTGGTTAGATGAGAGCTTATTGGAACATCCAGTCAACAACATCCTTAATGAGTGAATCTTGGAAGAGTTAAACATTTCATCTTTAGCACTGAAACTATCAGCTATTCTCTCAAAGTTCTCCCTGAAACCTCTCGATTTAAAGCCCCACTGCGGCCTCTCTGCCGTCCCTCCCTGCTTGCTGCATAGTTTTCCTTCATAGTAAGATGGACTTGCTGCTCTAAGATTATTTGTCTTGTGTTGTAGTAATGTGAGTTGAACTCTGCAGTTTCTGGGGGTTCTAAGCTTTTAGTCTAGACGACGTCATTTCTTCAGGGTGGCTTTGTTGTGTTAGGATCTTTACTACCTTTCTGTTTCTTCCACGTGTCGCACGTTGCTCGTCTCTGCCCGTTTTTGCTTCTGGGATGAAAACACTTGTTAAACTGACTCCAACTTTTCACAGCTACTAACGGCGCCGCTCTCTGTGCTGTTTAACATTTCTGTTCTGCTTGGTACATACAAACCTTTCTGTGTCCTGTCTGTCTCTTTCTCCCTCTCTCACTGCTCAGCATCCATAAAGAAACTTCAGGAACAGAATGACTCTCATCAGGTCAGCAGAGCCAAAATGGCAGAGGGGATGGCTTTAGCGCTGGAGAAAAAAGATCAGGTAAAGATGCGTTCTGTCTCACTTATTATAGAGGTCTGATTTGTTCTGAACACTTTCTATCCTCCTCCTGCAGGAGTGGATGGAGAAAATGGCCAATTCAGACAAAGTAAGTTACATTTCTTTTAAAACATGTAGAACAAATATAATTCTTTAATTTGAAGATTGCAAAATCACCCCACAAAAATATAAAAGATGGACGTGGTCTGTAGGTTTAAAGGTTGGACCCAGTGCAGGATTACCTTAGCCTGCATTCTTTCTCGTGGCTTGACGGCGGTAACGTCTTCGCTCTAGTAGAGGGAAAAAGTCCAGTTGTAAAGCTCTATGGCAAACTGGACCTTGGCTTCTTGTCCGTTTGACCTCAGTAAACACTTCTCTGGTGGGTTTATGGGAGCAGTTGTTTCAGGTCAAGAATGATAAAGCCCAGCAGTTTGTTTGGGGGGGAGGAGCTGATATTTCTGTGCTGTTCACTGATTGGAATGAACGTTAAACTGGTCACAAAATAAGAAGAGTGAAAAATACATTACACCAGCAGTTGGGCAAATTATCATTCTTTAACACTCAGTTTCAGTCATTACATTCCTACTAGAATACCATTACTTTGTAATATGCTGAGTTATTGCTAACAATGTGCAGCGTTTGGTGTATATCCCATCACAAAGAAGATAAAGGAGAAATTTTCCTTGTGGGGGGAAAAGAAGCTGCATAGTAATACTAGAGACTCTTACAACTGGTTCTTTCATGGTATTTGTCTTGTGTTTCACTGTGGGGGACGCCGGCTGCGTGACCTCAACAAAATCTCAAATACCGTCATACCGGCTCCTTTACACTTGCTCAGTGACACTCGTGTCAGGAGTGGCCAGAGCAGTGTTATATAATAGTGTCATAGCCTCAGATGTTATTCAAACACCTCTTGGTGACTAGTATACTATTGGGCTAAAGACTCTGCCACTGCTTCTTTGTTCCCAGTATTTCAGTTGTAAATTGGCTCACCAGAGGTAGCAGTGCTGTCCTGTAGCTGATGCTAAGGTGCCACTGGCATTTCTATCAGGAAGAAATACATCTTTAAAAAAAAAGTACAATTACTTTTTACTCCAAGTTAACTGAAAAACACTAATATTCTTCTCAGTGCTTTAACCTGGTGGTTTAACTGTTTGTAACACTCAGCCTAAACGCTAATCATGGCTATAGCTTCTGTGTGCTAGAGCGTGGTCTTACAGGACTCTGTATGAGCATAACGTATTTGAATCATAGGCCATCCCATTTCAGTGCTTCATGGCCGTGATCCCATCATTTCTTCAGGTAGAAGAGAGTAAGGCATTCTACACCTTCCAGGTGTATTCGGCCACTATTACAGCCTGCCATGTTGGTTTTATGTTGCATACCTTGTGTCCAGTCCATGCATTGTAGGTTTACCTGGACAGGACTCGGGGTTTTAGACGAGGACCAGTTACCTGTGTCCTGGACTAAACCACACGAGGCCTGTGTCTAAACATCGTCTTTCCCTTGGATAGCAGGAGCAGCTGCTTTTACTAGCAGGTGTCTGGCAGCCTCATGGTTTCTCTTAAAGGGAGTTTCTGAGAGGTTTCTGCATAACTGTCTTACCCCACACATTTGCTAGGTTTTACCAGTTGGGTGTGTCTACAGCATCTACAGAGCAGGTGAAAGTCCCTCTAATGTTTGAATTACTGCAGCAGGAAATCTGCATTGTGACTTATGATGTAACCAGAAGTCACTCGTAACCCTACACCATATCCTCACATGTAACCTAAGAAATGAAACCACGACTGGATGGCTTGGAAGGTTACTACGCAGTGCAGGCTTCCTGCAGGAGCTTGTTGTGACTCTGTCTGCCAGTTATCGAGGTGGGCCCTGTCCTGACAGGAGTGTAGCCAGCCAGGGGGGGCGGTAGTGTATTGGTATTTGAGCTCTTGGTGAGGCCATCAGTGAACCGGGGTCATATCCATAATCTTAAGATTCTGTACACCTGCATGAATCCAATAAATGGTGCATGAGAGAAACGATATTTACCTCAAAGGTGTGTTTGTTTAGGAGAAGGCTGCCCTGTCAGCTCGGCTAGAGGAGATGATGGAACAAAGCTTAGCACTCTTTCAAAAAAGGGACGACCTGGATGAACTGGAGGGCTTTCAGCAGCAGGAGCTCGCTAAAGTTAAACACATGGTGCGTACATGTGGTGTGCCAGCTTCTTCCTGACATTTTGCGATTAAGGAAAAATGGCAGTCAGTTATGTAGTCGTACACTGATTGTACCTTAGTGCAGGACTGGCGAGTCTGTACATTGGTTTGAAAACACTTTACGATGTGGTATGATGGTTGGATTCTGTTTATCAGTTGCTGAGGAAGGAAGAACTGCTGAGCCAGCAAGAGCGGGAACTTCAGCATAAGGAGGCTGATATTCAGTCAGCAAAGCGAGGGCTGGCCGAGGCTCGGGGGAAGCTCCAGACTCTGGAACGGCAGCACGAGGAGAGCTGCAGACTCAACTCTGAGCTGGAGATAGAGCGGTATGGAAAATGCAACATTCGGTTTTTGTGGAGGGAGTCAGCATTTTCAACATTTAGTTGCTTGTTCTAGAAGTGAGCTTGGATTTGTTGTGGGACTGTGATTTATTTTGTGACATGACGCTGTAATTCAAAGAGCATTTATTGGCTCCATGTAGAGAAGAGCTGCTGCTGCTCAGAGAGGAGGCTGACAAGAAGGTCGGTGAGCTAGAGGGACGATGCCAGGAGCTGCAGTCAGTCATCCAGCAGGTCTCTGAAGACTTCCAGAAGGTCAGCACTGAGCACACTACCACTACCATCCTCTCCAAAACTGCTTATTCACTTGTTGTTGGTTGCCTTTGTTTTTCAGTCACAGAGTATGGTTTCCACGTTGGAGAAGTCCCTCCATGAATTACAGACAGAACATGATGCTCTGAAGCTGCAGCAGCAAAAGGTCAGAACGTGAGGGCAGTAAAGCTGTAACGCCCTGCAGCTAAACATCGACAGTCTGTGTCTAACTGGGCTTAAATAATGTGTTATTATTTTTCGAACCCTCTGCATTTTGGCTCATAGCTCATACTCGTTTTTTACGTCATCATTTTACAGTGGAAAAGCAAAAACAGGACTAGTTTTTATTTGCTAAAAATAATATAAACCTGGACTATCCGTCTAAATAAACAGCAGCACAGCTGTTAGTGCGTCACTCCGCCAATCGGACATTTACAGTGAAGAAACCAGAAAAACCTTTTCTTCACTAAGAGTTTCAGCACAGTTTGTCAAAAGGTGCCAACGTCCATCTATGAGAGCGACCGGACTTCTTCAAGTTCCCTGAAGACGTTTCACCGCTCGTCTGAGAAGCTTCTGTAGTATCTATGAGATGCACAGTCTTCTGGTGCGATGAAAGAGTTTCAACCAGTATGTGTGGCATAAAGTAAACGCTCAGCACAACCTAGTAGTGGCAACATGATGCTGCGGGGTTGTGTACATGTGACACAAACTGGGACACCAGTTGGAGCGGAGGGAAACATGGATGCAACAACATCCTGCAGGAAAAGCTCTGCTCAGTGTTTAAGGCAATGACCTGAAGCACAATCAACTGCGTGACTCAGGGAAAATTCTGGAGCGGCTCAGTTGGAGTCCAAGAAGACTTCAGGCTATTCGTTCCTGCAAAAAATGCTTCGACAAACTTTTTTATTTTGAACTAAATTCACAAAACACCCAAAAACCTGTTATTGTTCCACGTTTACGTTGTTGTTGACGTGTAAACAAATTGAATCTTCTTTTATAATGGGTCACATTAGTTTGTTCCACTTGTTTCAGTCTTTTAAACCAAATGTTCTTTACCTGTCGTTGGCTTGTTGCTCCATCATCAGGCGGCTGTGACGGTGGAGGACAAGGAGCGTTTGTTGGTGGAGCTTCAGAAGAAGGTAACATCGTTGGAGAGACGACTGCAGGGGAACCTGAGCCAGGATGAGCACCTACAGGAGCTGCTGCAGGAGGTTAAGAACAAGTCTTGGGTCTACTTTATGACAGTAGCGCATGGCTGGCAGTTGACATGCTCACTGAGGTGTTGTTGTGTTTCATGGGCCCACAGATGTCTTTATAGTCAGGCTTCCTAATGAGAAAAAGAAATTAGAAGCACAAATATAAGTTTATTCATTTTTTTGTTGTCTTTCCAGAAGTCTAGTCTGGAGCAAAGTCTGGACGGGACGAGAGCAGAGCTGCTGGCTGTCCGAACAGACCACGCTGATGCCGTCAGCTCTCTGGAGGCTCAGGTAAAACAGCACATTCATACGCGATGGAGAACATTGTATGGGGCCAAATACACATACCCTGTGTAAATCAATGTAATGTAATAGTCTGATGTAGTCAGCAGTGTGTCACTTTAGAGGGGACATAAGATCGAAGTGGGCCTAACAGTGTAAGCTGTGTTTTTTAAAATGTTCAACTTCTTACTTTAGTTATGAAGTTGTTGTTTTCATTTCTGTTGCTTTCTGTGGCATTTTCCTCTTTTTAAAACAGCTGCATGTTTATTTACTCCTGTTTTCTGGTTTTCATTCCTCGCGTTACTTTGAACAAAAGAAGATATAAAAAAAAACTTAAGCGTTGTGTTTCTTGTGGCCTTAGGTGTCGAGGATGAGTGTCACCATTACTGAGCTGCAGACTCTTCTGCGACACAAAGACGACTCGTCCAGGGCCTACAGAGAGAGGACAGACACACAAGTAAGCGATGAGACAACAAACACCCGGCTCCGAGGAATAATACGTGATAAAAGGATTCTAACCTGAGATTGCAAAGTGAAATCGAAAAGACTTTACATGGTGACATTTGGTATGCTGAAGCCTCGATGAGTATTCATTCATATCATATTGATTGAATTGTGGTTTTCAGATTGCTCAGCTGGAGCAGCAGGTTGTAGAGAGCAGTGAGAGGCTGAGCAGTGCACAGCAGCAGATCGCAGAGAAGCAGCAGAACATGGAGAAACTGGTGAGTGCCATTCCAAGCACAGTTTGAGCCTTTAGAAAGGAGCCTGATATTATTTATTGAAGGCTACAGAGTGCTCTTTCAAAGTCTGATCATGTTTGTGCTCAGTTTTTTGTTTCTTGGAGGGAAAACATGGACTTTCAGCATGATTGCAGTGAAGGTAAAGAGTGCATGTCCAAACATACTTTTGTCCGTGTGCTCAGGAGGGAGAGCGGAGTGCAGAGAAGGCCTTTCTGGACCAGCAGCTGTCTTTGTTAGAGCAGCAGAGTCGGGAGAAGATGAGCCGACTGGAGGACTGTGTCGCCTCTTTACAGAAGGACAAACAGACACTACAGACCCGGCTGGTATGTTTCCTCCTGGCATTTGTTTTTATTCTGTTTGATAAACCAGTGTCTGATCTGTACCTGCAGACCCCAGACTGAACATGATGTTTTTCATATGGAATTTCCAAAAGAGGGATTAATCTGTAATGAGGTTTCCAGCCGGCAGTCCAATAACTGACGACGTGGGATATACTCACTCAGGCGCAGACTTTGGATGGGCGGAGCAACGATAATCATTTGATTTGAGCGTTTAGAATTTATACGTTTTGTCTGGAGGGAATATTTTATTTTATTCTTTGTTTTAGTGTTGCTATAGCTACTTTCTGGATGAATCATTTATTGAGATGAAAGACTTGATTTTGAACTTACTTTTTGACGTTTTTAGAGTGGAGAAAAGAAGCCCGTTTCTCTTTGTTTCCCTTCCCACCATTTTGAAATGCATCGCTGCGTTTGGGCGCACTCTGAGGAGGGTGCAGTTGAAACAGCTGTTTTTCTGTTGACTGCCTCTCTTAGATTCAACCAACATTATTAGCAAACTTATTCATGGGCAAATAAATAAATCACTCTCGTAAAAACGATATATTCGTCCAACCGCCAACCTTAATCAGTGCTTGTTCTGATGTGCACATGTGGCAGGCTGATCTGGACAAGCAGATGAATGAGGTGGACTCTGTTCTGAAGCAGCGGACAGAAGAATTGGAGCAGTGCAGGGTAAGAACCACAACACACTGCTGGGTTGTTTTATTCAAGAATATGAACATGTATTTGATTTAAACAGGGATAATTGGGGTGGTGGGGGAAATGAAAACTACTGGGACAAAGAGAAGCTGAACAACCACAGAAACGGTCCAGTCCAGAAAATGGAGCACAAGAGAAACAATCAGAAAATTCCAACACAGTAAAAAGTTGTTTTACAACAAACAGCTTATTTCTGTTGGTTCGAAACCTCCATATTCTTCATGATGGAGCCGTTCACATTATTTGTCATCTCCGCTGAATAAATGTGAGGGTTTTTTTACCCCTCAGCAGTAAGAGGCCGCCGTGCAGGCTCACAGGCTGCTGGCTGGTTTGGACACCTGAGCCTGTCGATCTACCAAAACTCTGAGCCTAGTCTGAATGTTCATCTGCTCACCCTGTTGCTGTTGTCGCTGTTTATTACTCACTAATATTACCAGTGTTCACATTCTTCGGCACATTTGCCTCGTTAGTGCGTCTTGAGTCATAAGTTGTAATCATTTGTTTAATGGCGCAGGTTTTTCACTCCGTCAGACGAAAAATACAACTTTAAAGTTTATTTTATTGAATGATTTTTGAAGTGAGCAGAGGTTATTTGTAGCCCACATTTTTGGTCTGTCTGTGTTTCCCAGGTGGAGCTAAACAGCCGACAGACGCTGAGCACAGAAATCGCCAAAGCTCTGGAAGAAACCAGACGACAGAAGGAGGGCCTGCAAACACAGGTCAGTGGATAAACTCAAACACAAACCTCTGCTGAAATAATGTAGTAACTCTGTGTGCACATCACCTCACTGTTTGTGTGCGTGTTGTGCTTGATGTCAGGTTGCAGAGCTGAGTGCGGCTCTACAGAGCTCACAGCAGGAAGTGACCGCTGTCACTGAGAAGCTAGCACTCAGAGAGGAGGACATCAGATCCCTGCAGAACGGTACACGCGTGTGCACTAAAGATCTTTAAAGAGATGGCGCTTAATAAAGAGCTTTAGAACAATAAGAGTTTAAAGCTCTTTATGTCTCCAAAATATTGTGTTTGCGTTGCAGAGGTGCAGGGGCGACAGGCATCCCTGGTGGAGGTGCAGGAGGAGGCTGAGCGGCTGAGAGCCCAGCTGGAGCAGGTGGAGCTGGACAAAGACTCCCAGGTCACCAGCCTGAAGGAGGAGCTGCTCACACAGACTCAGCAGCTGGACAGCTGCCAGGCTCGGGTCAGCACCTGCACACGCTCAGACATCTTTGAACATACTTGTGCTGTATTTTATAATGTGATCGGTGTGCAGGTGACTTCCAGGCATTCACACTCATGAACTATTTTATCTTGATGGGGTTTCTTGTTAAACTGAGACGGACTGAGTACTTTAATCAGACTGAATTAACAGTCCATGCTTGTTGTGAACTGTCTAGATCTCCTACCTGGAAGTGGAGGTGGAAACCCTGACCGAGCAGCTCCACAGTCATAGTGTAGTCTGTGAGGAGGATCAGAACGGCAGCGTGACCGTGGATGACCTGGATCACATCCAGAAAGTCAACAGAGAGCTGGAGCAAGAGCTCAGTGACAAGAACAGGGTCAGAGGCTTTTTGGCAATTCACATTTGGTCCTCTAGCTATGAATGAAAAAAACTACATGCATGAAGGCAGGTAAACTCACCCCACACATAAAACTCTCTGATGATGTTTGCAGACCATAAAGCAGCTGCAGCAGAGACTGGCAGAACTGAAGAGGACTTTGCAGAAAGAACTGGTAAGACAATGAATGTTCAGTGCTGATCTTTCCTATTGTCATAAGATTGCCATTAATGTAAAGTCAGTTGTAGCCATAAAAAGTATGAAATATGTCTGGTGCTGAATGCCCAGAAGACAGTGGAGATTATTGTGGACTTCAGGAAGCACACAGCTCCACTCCCCCCCATCATCCTGACTGACACCCCCATCACCTCTGTGGACTCATTCCGCTTCCTGGGTACCACCATCACCCAGGACCTGAAGTGGGAGCCCACCATCACCTCCGTCATCAAGAAAGCCCAGCAGAGGATGTACTTCCTGAGGCAGCTGAAGAAATTCAACCTGCCAACACGGACGATGATGCAATTCTACACCGCAATCATCGAGTCCATCCTCACCTCCTCCATCACCGTGTGGTACGCTGGAGCCACTATCAGGGACAAACAGAGACTGCAGCGTGTTGTGCGCTCTGCTGAGAAGGTGATTGGCTGCAGACTCCCATCTTTGCAGGACCTGTACACCTCCAGGACACTGGGGCGTGCAGCCCGGATCTCAGCTGACCCTTCTCACCCTGGACACAGTCTGTTTGACCTGCTCCCCTCAGGCAGGAGGCTCCGGTCCATTCGCACCAGAACCTCTCGCCATAAGAACAGTTTCTTCCCCTCTGCTGTTGGACACATGAACAATAACCACATGACTGTCCCCGCCACTAACACATGACCCTACGCTGTGTTCACTGCATCATTCCATGTTTGGCACTGATCACCACCTGCACTCATGTATATATCTATCTACTTAGCACTTTTAATTCTTATTCTCATTTTTATTTTCATGTCTATTTAAGCTTAATTTATAACAGTATTTATAACAGTATGTTTGCACTGAAGCACCGCAGCAATTTCCTAATGTTGTAAACCTGCTCAACATTTGGCAATAAAACCCTTTCTGATTCTGATTCTGAAGTGAAGTGTGGCATTAAAGCTTACTGTCCCACAGCAGCAGATCAGAATGAATTATAACATTTTATACATTTTCCAAATCACTGGAGTAAAACGCGTACGGTCATGTGACATTGCTTCATTCAGATAGAGCACACAGGCTGTGCACACAGGTCGTAGCCCAGCAGAGGATCGTGAAACATTCTGTAAACAAACGACGTCCAGATGATTTTTAATACAGAACTCTGAACATAACCTGCTCCAGCCTGTTTTAGGTTTCAGAGTAAAGAATGACTTCTCCAGAGCGCGTTAGCTTCACAGAACAAGTTATTACGGCAAATTAGAAAGGCGTGAACCCTGAAGGTGCTTGGATAAGCCAGAATCCTGTGTCATACAGGCCTCAGGTTCCAAAGAAACACAAACCTGTACTGTTGCTGTAACCTAAAACAATCAAGTTCTTTCTTAATCGTCAGATTTGTTATTGATTGGATTCTGCCTCCTTATCGGGTGTAAATGCAGAATGATTTGATTCTTTGAGTGCTTTTCTCTCTTCGTGCTCTGTAGAAATTAAAACCTGAGTCAGAAGCTGAAGGGAGGGAGAAGCTACCTGAAAGCAGAGCAGAAAAACCGGAGAGGGTTTGTCCTGACCCTGCACCTGCATCCACCCCGAGTCCCCCAACCTCCAACACCACAGTGACCAACACCTCGGACCTCAATGACTCAAGAGAAATTAATTTTGAGTATCTCAAGCACGTCGTCCTCAAGTTCATGTCATCCAGAGAGGCAGAGGTAACGTGTGACTCTGCAAGAGTCTGGTTTGTGTTGACTGCATGTCAGAGCCCAGCTGTGCTCCACACTCAGACTGAAGGTGCGCTGCTTGTTTTGCTCTGACAGGCATACCAGCTGATAAGAGCTGTATCTGTGCTGCTGAACTTCACTCGAGAAGAAGAGGACATGCTGAAGCAAACTCTGGAGTACAAGGTGGGCGGATTCTTTGCAAAAAGACATCTGTACAAATCTCTGTGGGAAAACCTTTCCGGACTCAGTCACTGGACTGAGGGACTGGAGACATGGCAGCTACCTCCATGTCCTCTATACAGTCTGTGGTAGTCACTGTGCTTTGCCTTTATAGAGCAGACCAACCTCCCGACACAGCCAAATGTCATCACGTGTATTATCATGTCTTCACCTTTGCTGCCTTATACTCGGTCTGTGCTAATGATTACTGTCCCGTTTGTGTTGTAGATGTCCTGGTTTGGATCGAAGCCTTCTCCAAAGGGAATCGTCCGCCCTTCTATCTCAGGATCAGCTCATTGGAGCTGATTTTACAGCAGAAAGAGCTGAAGTGATGGAGAGACTGAGAAAAAGACAGAGCACCTCCTTCCTGTCTAGCTCCCATCACTGAGCAGGACTCCAGCCTCCCAGTTTTTCCCTGGCTCTGTGGGAGGTACTGATGTGAGGACAGAGGAGGGGCTGCGCATCATCATTTAGGGACGAAGGCTTACTCATAATCAGTGGTGATTTTTAAAATGACGTTTTTGATTTTTCTTCAATCATATGACACTAATCTGATGGTTTTTTGTCAGCAAAAAGTGAGTTACTATGTGAGACATCACACAGGAGTAACGCTCTGTTGTTTTTGGGGTTAACTTGTTGTTTATCACTTCATTTTAAATCAGAGGGCTTATTTAATGAAAACGGGTCACTTTACTGACCCGTACAGTTGGCTTTAGTATCAATGAGTCTATTTAATGGTATATAAATGGTTCACACTGGTGTCAGAGGACCAGCTGTTCTCACATTGAAGAATGCTGCATTGGAAACTGAAAGTCTTCTGTGGGTCACACAAACCTTTGATTACATCTTTAATCAACACAGTGTCTTTCGCCCCCGAGCAGAGCAAACCTGGGACCAGGTGTTTGGGTTCAATGGATTCATTTTGCTTCTCCTGCTGTTGATCCTCCATTAATAGTTTTTCTTCCATTTCTCTGCCACTGATGAGGTTTTCGGTCAACTGAGTCACCCAGAGACCGAGAGGAATAAAACACAACCAGTTCAAAAATTGGTCAATATAGAAATCTCTCTAATTAATCAATACTTTTATTTTATTTATTTTTAATTTGATTTTAATAATTTGTTGTACATTTTAATGACAAACTTTAAAGGTGAATTAAATGACCTGTGGTCCACCTGCAGTACCTGCTTTGCTGTCTAGGCTGCAACTAACCACACTCTGGGACGCAACAATCAAAGAAATCAAGGCTGTGATTAATGTCCAATATGATCATCATAATCCAACATTTTCCTAATAGATGGCAATGCTGACCTTGCTCCAGCTTCCATGCATGTTGAACTGTAGTTGCTCTCTGTACTGTGGTGGATTAAAGATGTAAGATCACCCGTGTAATACCAATATGTGCCACAGTGTGGTGCAGTCACATTCTGATTCGCAGAGGCAGCCCGGGAAAGAAGACTGATGTGAAAGCTGTTTGATACTCTGAGTCTGATCTCCACGCGCTGTTTTTCTTTTTCTCTCTCCTTTAACACCAGTGTGAAAAATATAGGCTGTATATAAATTCAACTGAAATAATACAACTGTGGTCAAAGTTTTCATACATTCATCGTGTACATGAATGTGAAGTAATTTATGGTTTGTATTTCTTTGAACTAGTTTTTTTCCCAGGGTTGAATCATTGTAAACATTGAAACATCGTACATGTTGACAAGGATACAGTCAGGCTCACACACACACACACACACACACACACACTCCCTCCCTCCCTCCCTCTTGGTGATTGTTATTGACTAAAATTGTTAGTTTCTCTCTGTCAGCATAAAGTTTTTGTTTGACAGCACTCACTGCATCATCCATTACTAAGAACAGTGGGAAGTCCAAGGACCTCAGTGAAGGTCGCAGAAGGAGAACTGTGAATTTACACAAGTTGTGAATGTCCATTGGACCCATTCCTAAACAACTACACTTTTCAAGATCATCAGTTCAACTATTGTACATAAGTACAAGTTATTCCAGTGTCTCACCACCTCACCAGTGTCTGGAAGAAGAGTCGAGCTGTCATTCTGAAATGAGACACTGGTTAGGATGTTCAGGAGCAACCCAGAAACCACCAAGGGTCAGGTCTGCTATGAACTGCTAACAGCTGCTACTAACAGCATCCACAATGAAGTGAGTTTTACATCAACATGGACTGAGAGAGTGCTGACCGAGAAACAAGGCCCCGCTCCGAAATAGACGTCTGCAAACTTGACATGAAGCCAACTGCCCTTTGGAGACAATTCAAAATAAAAAATAATACCCAGTTCTTCTTGTTTTAAGTTGTTAAAGACACATACTGTATAACCAGTCCACCCTGGAAAAAGAACGGCTGAAAGAAATCACTGAAGTCCAAAATGCGAGTTTGTAAACTGACCACAGCTGTATATGATAAAAAAGGTGAATGCTCTGTAAATGATGAAGGAAAGGCTCTGCCTTCACCTGCCTTTGCTGATGTAAATCAAAGTACATTCCACTTGGCTGTTTATAAAGAGAAATCTGTACATACTGTATGCATTGAAAACTTTATAAATCAGTGAATGTCAACAGTGATCCGTTTATAATATTTATCGTTATCATAGACCTGAGCCCACACATGTTTCTGCCCCAGCTCGTCACACTGTCCATAACGGTGTCTTGTCCTGAGTGTCAGTCATGTGATTTGAAGTTTTATCTGTTTGTATATAGAGAAAGCAAGAGCACATCTTTGAATGCAGATTTGCCATCATGTTTATTATTACAGGTAGCAGACTGACGTGGTTATGGACACTCCGTCAGCTTTTATACTCTGAGAATCAAAGAAATGACAAATGCACTTTTGAACCTGGTTGATTCTGCTGTGTTAAACACTCAAAGAGCTTTTCTGCCTTTTGTTTTTAATGACTCAGTGATGTTTCTATGACTGTTTTATTCTGTGACTCTGGGAGGCACCACTGGTACAGAGTAGCTCAAAGTCATTCAGAAAGACGTGTTTGTTGTGCGTTGGTCTGGTTATTCACATCGGCTTTTCAACAGCTGTGAATGTCCACTTTATTTAGATCATAAAACACTCTTAATTATGTGTTGCAAACTGTGGCCACCAAGATATCACCCATTGGTTTATTATTATTATTATGAGGCCTCACCATTTTTTTTATAGACACATGAACACTAAACAAGTAAAACGATAATGAAATACAAAAACTTTCCTTACCAAAACTGAAGAAAAAGCTGATCTGTACCAGACCAGATAAAATCCAACAGATAATCCATTAAAATATCTCCAGTTCTGTGATCCTTGTAGTTCAGTTGGTAGAGTGCCACCAGCTACAGTTGTTAGCATGCTGCTAACTGTTATATCTGTATTCCAATAACCAGAAAACGAAAACTATGTGTTATGGGGGTGTTAATCCAAAGGCTTTCCAGTGCTGTAAAACTGGCATTTTAAAATGGGACACTTCATGGTCTGACTTCCTTTTAGCGGCAGCAGAAGTGGACCCTAGAGGAACTGCAGTGATGGTTTGAACTTATAAAGCTTCAGTGTTTTTTCTGCTTGTTTGTTACCCCTTTAAAGAAAATGGAAATTGGAAAAGAAAAATGCAAACCCACACAGATTAGAAGTGTGTGTCCACAATTTATAAACTAAGGTGGATTCACAGTGCCTAGTTTTGGTCATCTAAAATTATTCAGACCCCATTCAGATTGACACCCCCCCCAGTCTTGTCAATCTTTCTCCCTTTTTTGCCGTATTTTTCAAATAACCTATATTTGACTACAGTGTAATAAAACTGGAAATTCTGTTTTTGGCGTGACACACCACTATTTTAGTGGCCCCCATTTGGCCAGCCTTATGAAAAAGGTCTGGAGGTGCCCCTGATGACCATGCAGGTAATGGTTTTGGAGTTATAACGGGGAAGGCTGATATGTTTTGGTCGATGTGTCAGGGTTTTTTTCCTAGCAGTAAACAAGAAAGATAAACGTAAAGGTAAATTACAGGATCACGTAGTCTAGAGCCGTCTGTGTGAAGTAGTTTGGCTGTTTAGTTGGGTTTGAAAAACAGCACCTGCCTACATTTGTTTCAAATTCTGCACATTTGGTTAGAAAATCAACGTTACCTGATTTTTCCCCACACTTCTGACACTACTGTGGCAATATAACTCTGATATGCAAAGATTTTGCACACGTCCCATGTCCTGAGATCAGGAAATGACAATAATACAGTTGTACTTTTTTTGTTTAGCGGCTTCATTTGGTCTGTGATTATATCAAAGTTATATAAAAGTGTCTCTTTTCATTTGTTTGTACCCGTTTTTCTTCCGGGGGGTGTTCCACTGGAAGCGATCGTACTGCGTGGGTGGGTGTGTTGTTCAGTCCTCCGCGCCACGGTGGCGCTGTTTGCAGGGTGAGAAACTGAAATGACGAAGAAAAAAATCTCCGGAAACTGCTTTTTGTGAGCACGCGGTGCGTCCGGCCTTTCCGACGGAGCAGCGAAAAGGAACATGGTGGGGGACTCTCACTCTTCGACTAACTGCCAATTTTTGGTCTTTAAGAGCCGCAGAAACCCGTCTGTTTCGTGCTATATGCGTTCATAAACTTCTTGGGTACTTGTTAGTGCGTATGTTGACAGGCAGGCTGCTACCAGAATAGAATAAAATGATTTATTACGGAGCGCTCGTACCGACCAGCGCCGCTCAGCTCAGTTGCTAACCTGAAGCTAGTGGAAAAAATAGCGACAAGTATCTACTGCTGCTGGGTAGTTGAACCGAAGCATTTGGTACAAATAACGTGTCCTTGTTAATACTGGTAGCAAGTAGCTTGAATATTTCCCCTAAGTAATGCGAATGTGTAACGTACGGATGATAATGTTAGATAGTGTTGCGTTGTGCGTGTTAGCCGAACCGATGGCGTGTTAATGCCCATGCTCTCCTTACAACGTGTTTGCTTGTTTTCTGTCATTCAGGCCAAAATCAAGGCAAGAGATCTGCGGGGCAAGAAGAAGGAGGAGCTGCTGAAGCAGCTCGACGACCTAAAAAATGAGTTGTCCCAGCTGCGAGTGGCCAAGGTTACTGGTGGAGCTGCTTCCAAACTCTCCAAGATGTGAGTACTGAACATAAATCCTACTGAACCAAACCAACCCAGATGATCCTTAACCGGTCAGATAGATACTTGTAGTCAGGGATGCATGGGATGTCATTCACTTAGCATCTGATAGCACTTGAGTAAATACTTTCCCAACCACAGTTGTAATGAGAAATGTTTAGTTTTGCTGTTGTTTCGCTGGGTTAATCTAGCTAATAGGTTTGGATTCCATGGCTCACTGCTGTCACTTGAAGAAGTACAGAATAAGTATTGACCATAAAGTCAGCAAGTTCAGAGTTGGCACACACTATGAAAGAGTTGTCCTGGGGATACATTTCTTTGCTATAGGTAACCCCATCTAAAGAGAAACTTGCATGTAGTTTAACAGAAGTTTACATGGATGTTGAGTCATTTGAGTAACATGTGACTGCTCAGACTTCTAGCTCTGGCTGATTTGTTGGCCGTGTCCCTTTTAATGTGTTTAGGAAGCAATATTCTATTAAAATGTGTAATTGAAATACCTGAGAGTGAATATGAACAATGACTTAAAAGCTAAGAAGAGCAAATGAAGAAACAATATAACCAAAAATGATTGTTTAAAGACCCACGGATTTGTCTTTAAGTCTTCATTTTTGCCTTAACATTGACTTTGGTCCAGTATTTTAAAAGCGTGTTTGTATATTGATGTGTGGTTCACTCTGTTTTTGTTGCCTGACCTGAAATACATACACAACAAGACATTTGTTAGAATCATTGCAGTGTTTTTAAGTACATTAAAACAGCTAATGTGCTCTTATCTTGGACACTTTCCTAAGTGGTTGCACGGCTGACTTTGCTGTTTATTCTTCACAGCCGTGTTGTTCGCAAGTCCATCGCCAGAGTCCTGACTGTAATCAACCAGACACAGAAGGAGAATCTGAGGAAGTTCTATAAGGTGAGCCCCTCCAGCTGTTCCCATGTTAAAACACACACATCTGCCTGCTTCAAACTCCTTCGGTTCTTGCTGATGCATCGCAGCTGATTACCAAAATTACTTGTGACTGTATTTGATATTAAGAAGTAAGAATTCTAAATAAGGCACGGCTGTGATTAGCCTGCTCTTCGTACCAGTAAGAATTACAGGTTAATTAAATGTTTTTGTTACTTCAATTTGATAAAATAAAGTTTGTTTCCACCAACATCAATTAAATTCATAACAGCCAATCGGTTGTTTGACTAAAACAAGTAATCACTGTTATTAACAACAAGATTACATAAGCACAGGGTATAAAAGCTGTGATGCTTTGACATGAGCCAGAATAACATTTAGAAACTTCTCCTGTGTCACTCTTTGTTCAGTTACATGTTGTAAGGTTTTAGTCAGTGTAATCACAGTGTGATGCTCTGATGCATTAATGCATCCGGATGCAGCCATGCTGAGTTCTTGTGTTTGCAGTGAACCCTCACGCAAAAATTTTGCTCTCTAAAACATGACGCATCCGTGCTTGCAGATGGATTTTTATTGTGATTTATGCTTTTTAGCTTGACTGAAACATAACCGTTTTTGCAGGGCAAGAAGTACAAGCCCCTGGATCTGAGACCCAAGAAGACCAGAGCTCTGCGCCGCCGGCTCAACAAGCACGAAGAGAGCCTGCGCACCAAGAAACAGCAGAAGAAAGACCTCCTCTACTCGGTCCGCAAATATGCCGTCAAAGCTTAGAGGCATTTTCTAGTAACAAAATAAAATCTTTGGAACGTACTGTTTGTGTTGTTTCTCCATAAACACTTAAATACATACATGAACCAGACCATGTTTCTATGTCATAGTAACGTTGCTCTTTAGTGTCTCTGTTACAGTCAGAGGGATCGTATTTTGTCTGGAGCCTCTTAAAAAAAAAAATAAAAGTAGGCTCTGCTCCTCATTTGAACACAGTCTCTGCTGTGGAGCTATAATCACTTTTTTCTGATCTATCCTAACTATACAGGATTTCTAAGGACTTGCATCGTGGGCTTGTTTAAATGGGGGAAAAATCTCACTTTTGAACCCAATGGGGTTTTTTTGGGTGGGGGCCTTCAAAAAGGAGATGCCTGAAGTTAATTTCAGCAGCAATTCAAAGGGACATTCTGTGTTTATCAATCTAATGACCTGTGTATAGCCAAAAACACCACTAGAGGGCAGCACAGTCAGGGCAGTAACATCCCAAATACTGAATGACTCGTGCTGTGAATTTGTGAAGTCTATTTCAAAGGCACTGTGGCAACTACGAACAACTTAGTCGTAGCATCTGCTTAATATCAGATCTGTCATGTCTACCAACAGCAGCTCAGTGATGGTGCTGGGTTAACTGGCACAACGCTGGAAGTCTCACTGCAGCCAATAACATGTTTTTCACAACAGGAGCTGGTACACGGTGTTTGGGGACATACATTTACACCATTAGTCAGCAAACAGTGCCTCACGATATATGAACTTAAACTATTTAAAGTTATACAACCATTTAACTTTGTGTTTTTTAGGGCAACATGATGATTTCTGCCACAAACAAACACGCACATTTATTTATTTATTTTTTTGGCCTGTCCCGTTTGGCTCTTTTGCATCAGAATTGTTGTCTAAAGGCAAAGAAAGATGCCCAACGGATTTACTTTACCAACCTGACCATCCCAGCCTTGCCGTAATGGTCCATTTGATTCACCTTTTATTGTTTATTTTATTTTCACTTACTGAATACGGGACAGACTTGACTGGGGGAAAGAAGGGGAGAAAGAAAGAGGGAAAGAGAAACAGCTGAGAAGAGGGACGGGGGAGAAGGGCAAAAGACAAAAACCAACAGAACGGGCAGAGAAAAAAAAATGCATCTATCAATCACCTGGATCACCTGCTGAGAAAGAAAAAAGAAAGCAAGCAGAAGAGAACAAGAGCAATAGAATAAACAACATCACGATGATATATGGGAATATGACAGTAAATACTAAATGTTAAACATTATTGTGCAGCACATAAGATCAACAGAACACAGTGTGCTTTGAGGTAGGAGCCAAAAAGGGTGTAGTTTGTGGGTGTGATCACCCGTGTGTGCACCTGTGAGCATGGACGCGCTTGTTTTTTGTTTTTTTAAAAGGTTCCTTCATGTAATGATCTGCTAGAGGGTGTGGGGGGGCCACAGCCCCGTCCTCCAGGGCATGAAGCAGGTATGGAGGAGATCAAAACTCCAGACATCCAGAGGCCCCCAGAACACAAGAGACCAAGGAAGACCAACAGAGGGGCAGCCGCGCCACTGTCCCAGAAAGAGCTGAGGAGAGTCCCAGATGAGGGCTCACTCAGCAGCCGCGGAGCAGAAGCCAGGGGGGGTTGCAGTGACGCGCCCGTGAGCTCCGCCGGCAGCCAGCTGTGCCTGAGTGACCGAGCCCCAGGCCGAGAGGCCGGGGGCACCCCACCTCCGAAGTGGCCCGAGCGAGCCCCAGGCTATGAACTTAAACTATTTAAAGTTATACAACCATTTAACTTTGTGTTTTTTAGGGCAACATGATGATTTCTGCCACAAACAAACACGCACATTTAAATAGATCTGAAAAGACAATCAATTCATATCAGACTGAAGTGGTTTAGAATTAATACAAAAGGCAAAAATTGATGACATGCAGCTCCCGCACCGCCTGCTTCATGTACTTTGGGTTCTGTCTTCCATGCTGATGCGACTTTACACGTACAGCTTATCTAAACAACTATCTAACCCTTGATG